TCTCTCTCTCTCTCTCTCTCTCTCTCTTCCTCTCTCACTCTCTCTCCTTCTTCCTCTTCCCCTTTTCCTCCTTCCACCTCTAGACCTCTCTTTCTCCCCCCCCCTTTATCACCTTGCCCTTTCTCTTCCTCTCTCCCGTCCCCTCACTTGGCATATGACTAACCCTTGTCCCCTCACTTGGAAACATTGCCAGGGCACGGACGGTAAATGAAATCAGACTTCACTTGGTGGAAAAAAGAGGGCAAGGGGAGGATAGCCGTTCCCTTGTGCCACCAAGGAGGCAAAAGAGAAAGGACGGTTGAAAAAGTGGGAGAAAGGCGGAATCCGGAAGAGAACTTAAGTTGAAAGTGAGGTCAGTTTGACTCAACCATTTCCCCGACTGCATGACTGTGAGAAGAGAATGGGCTGATTGAGCAACAAAAGGGAACAAAGAGCAGCCACAAAATTTGAAAAGATAGTCATGTGGGAAGGGCTATGTGTTGACCCCCAACGGGGGATTGTATGAATCTTCTTGCTTATGTGGGATTTGTGCAGGTGAGTGATGGCTAGAAATGCCTTGAGCGGGATAGGGGCGTGAGGAACTGGGCACCAAGAGGGAAAGGGAAGAGGGACAAAAGGGGCTATGGGACCCTTGACATAGAGCCAACCCATGGAAATGACTTTTGCGCTTGAAGACTTGAGGTGTAAATGAGAGTGCAATCGTACCAAGGAAAATGTGATGTTGTGTGTGCATGCATATGAGGACCCCGAAAAGACTAAGGGGCCTACTTCAATAAGGAAAATAGCAAATTGTGAGACCCGATGGTTGCGTAGAGGCGAGGGAGAGGACGACTCCGCTGCGTGGCCTAAGGATGACGCTTAGCCTACACACAAGAGAAGAGAAACACTCAAAGAATCCTTGGACTGCCTGCGCATTGGAAGGAGCAATTGCATGAGAACACAACAAAGAAAAAAAAAAAATCAGCGTTGCATAACAACCAGCGAGACTACCACCCGGCGTGAGGGTGAAGCTACATCCCCAATGTCAAAGCTCTGTCGCGCAATGGCCCACCCCCATCCATCTCAAAGCACTAGGTGGGGGTGACCCTGGGACGAATGTCCCGCGCCCTGAGCATGAGTGTGGGTGGGCCAAGCCAACTGGGACCCGCAGTGGGGTCGACTAAGGCTCGAAAGTATACCGGGGTTTGGCCCTACAAAAATGGTGGAGGCGCCGGGTATGGGGTTAAATTGATCCTTGCGATTCCGACGGGGGCGCCCGACGCATTGACGTGTACACAACCCAAGATAAGGAAAATGGACTTGTGTTTGCTCTTTCCCTTGTGAGAAATCAAATTTGAGAGTGGTTGGGCGCATGACATGACCAGGCTTGGAGGAATAACATGCATGCTTTGCACTTGGTTAGCCATTTCCTTGCGGAATGACTCTAGCCCTCCTTCGTTCGGTGCTGGTGTTCGCAAGTCCGGGGAAGCCTTGGGCAAGTCGCTGGTCGACCCTTCCTCTTCGTATGAAAGAAGGGCTCCGGTTACCTGGCAGGCGGTTGGTCCTTCGGCTTCGGCCGGGGTCCGATGAAAATCCCATAGCGGAGTGATCCGACCAAATGGGTGCTTTCCCCTTCTTCTTTGAGCCCAGCGGGCTCATGCACTTTGCACCTTTCTTAATGATTGAAGGAACCAATATGAACACAACGGGGCATCAAGAAAGAACAATCCCGCCCTATGAAAGGACAGACAAATGAAAAAAAAAGAAATGAAGGGAGTTGCTAGAGTCCAAGGAAAATTAGCTCACCCTTAAAGATTCTCACGAGAAGGAACCAACCACTATGTATGAAAGTAGGGGGAGTGACACTCATTGTCCTGAGAAAAAATTTGTGAGTTATGGGTAGGAAGCGCTGAGTGCACCAAGGAAAAGGCACTTGTACTATGTGTGTCCCGCTTGGGACTTGTGTTTGCATGATGGGATTCAAGCGTCCTGCTTTTTGGAAGGAAAGGATTGGTCTGCACCGGCCAGTGCGGGTTGTGAAACGTCGTTCTCTTTTTGTAGGCTGTCATATGTTTGTATGTGGAGGTCGGGCCACCGAGCTGTCGGACGAGAGTTTGTCACGTCGGTTGATTAGTAGCATTCTCGTTCGAGCGGTGACGGGCTTTGGCTCGATGATGCCGGACGGGGTGTGAAATCTCCTCAGGCGGGGCTTAGCCTATTGGCTGGCGGCGGGAGTACCACTGCATGCGGACAAAGATGGAGCCTCGGAGGCGATTAGTAGTTTCTCGTAGCATGGTTTTGGGAAAGGTTGATTCTTGTCGGACCGATGGAAGTGAATGCCCGGACGACTGACTTTGTCCCTGTATTTAGGCACTCGGGGTAACCCTCGGTGTCGGTATGGATGTGCAAAGCGGTAAGACGGGATGGGGTATTCTGGGGACAAGGAAAGGGCTAACGCCTTGCCGGAGCCTGGGTACCGTGCTCGCGACGGTTGAGTTGCATTTGAGGTATGGGATATAACTCTACCGATAGTATCAGCGGAGAGACTATATTGGGATGGCCGGTGAGGAGATGACCGGCCCATATGTGAGATTGTCTGATTTTCTTATGTGTTCCCCCCCCCCCGTAAAGATTGATTGAGCTTGGATTGTTGGACGAGCACTCTTCTAAGTCTATTCCCCCTCCCTTCTAAGTCCACACGAGTGAGAGATGATCGAAAGGAAGGAGGATAAAAGTCAGATGGAATGGAACCAAGAAAAGGAATGTGGGGAAATGGATGGCCGGCCGAGGGAATTATGGAAAGGGGGTACTTAGAAAAGAGGGAGGTAAATTAGGGAAACCTTAATGGGGGGTCTGAAATAATCCTCATTTAGGAAAAAGGGTTGACCTGACAAGAAGAACCGGTTGGTACTCTTTCATGAAAAAAGGGGTCGGATGCTGGAAACAAGATGGCGCGATGGCTGTCTTTCCCGACTTATACCAGCGGTCCAGAGATGCAAGTAGACGTAAAGGATGGGGTGTCGGTCGTCCTCCCGGAAGATGGGGCGTGGACGGATCTTGAACCAGCTTATCAAACCGTAATACTGGAAGGGGAGGACGCGTTCCTATGGATAGAGACGGTATGGGCTAATGTTAGCTTGACAAGGTTGTCGCCAAGTTTAATGGATTTGGAGTTTCGGGGAACAGTGGAAGCTCGGGGGTGGGTCTACTTGTCGCAAGATGGGGAGAATGCTATGGTCGTAGAGTTGGCACTCGGGAATGCGCCGGACGAGCTGTTTAGGAAGGCTGAAGCGGAGGTTGTGTGGGCCGCGTGTCAGCGAAGGGAAATGGAAATGGAAAGGGTAGATGTGCGGGTGGAACTTGGGGATAGAGGAAGCATGAGGCGACCCGTCAGAACCATGTGATGCGTGCTGCCTCCCTTCCTAGTGGATGCGGTGTTTGGAACCCGGAGCAGACTGGTAAGGATATGTCAGTCTATGACGAACCTTGGACTATACCAATGCGCTAGGCAGGATTTATTTCGGTTGTCAGTAGAAATGGGGCCGTTTGAGGGGAACTGGGCGGACGAGCTGGCCGAGATACTAAACTGTCTTAGCATAGACAATATTTTTGTCCCTAGCTCTGTGCATTGGGGGATAGTCTACAGGAATATGGCAATAGGGGAGACGCTTCTGGATGGGGTGAGGGGTTTGTTATACAACGAGGAGGACGACTTCAGTGATGAAGACGAAGATGATGAGATGGAGGACTGAGACTTCTAAGAGGGGTGGGGTAACTTAACCTAAGAAGGACGGGTGACCTGGTACTGTGCGGGAAAGGGGAAAATGACTAGAGAAGAAAGGATGAAGGAATACACCTTCAAAGGTTGGGAACCACGACGACTCGGAGGAGGAATAGAAATGCCTATACCGACAGAAAACGAATGGAGGGGGACCACGTGCGACTGGATTGGGTTTGAGGTCGCCCGGGACTTGTCACGTGTATGGGTAGAGCGGATTTGGAACCCAAAAAGGGAAGAAGAAGGTTGGGATGATATAGCAGAAGGCAAGGTAGAGTCGGTCGGAACGATTGTCCTTTCCGAGGATGGATGACACCTGTTTTGCACTATGTTAGCCATGGGACAGGACCCGATGTGGCTTCTAGGGGATGCAGAGGGGCGAAGCTGGAGGGAAGGCAAGAGGTTCGCCAATGAGGGGTGGGACGAAGTTAGTAGCAAAGTTGTGATGGGAGGGTGGAAAGAACTCAGGCCTCCCTGCCTGCGCATAACAGCTTGGATGCCCCAGTTCGTGGCCGACTGGTTCGGGGGTTTTGAGCACATAGCAGACGTAGCCGACTCCATGAGGAAAGTACACATAGAATGTGCCTGGCTGACCGAGGAGTTCTATAGGTTCTCCTTAAAATATAGGACCTTCTACGGGGATAAAGCCGGTGAGGTCATCACCATCCCGAAGATAGGTAAATACGACCGCCTAGAGGTAAGTGCGGAAGCTTGGGACGCCATAGTTAGCCGGGAGGCGGCGCCCGCGCCATCCTATGTGGACGATGTCTTTATGCTGTTTGAGGTGCGATGGTTTGATTAAAGGGACTCAAAGTTTGAATGCCACAGGAAGAACGGAGTATAGAGGGTGCATGTGAATTAGGATGTAGCGTAAGAAAGGGGCATGTACATTAGTCAGCGGGGGACGCGAGGAGGCCGAAATAAGGGCAGGCATGAAAACGGGATAGTGGCAGGAACCAGTGTACGATAAGAAAGGGGAACTGAAAGACTAGAATACGAGAGACGTGAAATCTTGGTGGGTGCAGCAATCGGACTAAGGAAGCGGGAAAGGAGGCATTGCGAGATGGCTCGGCGAATGACGTTATGGGGAGATAGGCCTCGTGGGATCCTACCACCAAGAGCATCAGGGGACAGGGTCGAAATAAGCCTGCCATCAAGGAACGTTGTGAGTAACCCGGTAATGGACTGGGTGGGGGTAGAGTTGGTGGAAGACACGGTGTACCTAGTAATAGAACTGGAGTGACGTACGAGAGGGGAATTTGGGGGCATAAATTTGGACCTCCCAGGGCGAGTGCATGCGACGGGATTCTTACACCTGTCGGAAGAAGGGTGGTGGACCTTTGGGATTGCCTTGGCCTCCGGGGATAACCCCGTGCGAATGTTCGAAGGGGCATGGCAAATAACGTGGCAGGAGGGGTTTGAGTTTGCAGATCCGGAACGAGATGACGTGACGGCTGAGGTAAAAGTCGCCGCGGCAGGGGGTTTTGAGCTGCCAAATGAGGTCGTACGGATGAGTCTACCACCCTTCCTGCTAAGACGAATGGGAGCCATAGAACGAATGAAGGAGGCAGTGACTGTCGTAACTAGGCTAAATTTTGACGAAGCATTAGTGTATCAAGAATACTATCGGGCCTTCCTAGAGATGGGGCCTTTCGGGGACGAATAGGGGCGCGAGGTGCTTTGCATTCTACGAGCAGTGGTAAATACTAGGCCGGGAGTCCCCCAAATAAGTGATGAGACCGTGTGGAGAGTCATCCGACGAGAGGTAGGTCGGGGCGCGACCTCCATAGATGATCTCTACCGGTTGTACGAACAGCCAGAGGGGGCTACTGCTCCCAGGGGTATAGAGGGATAGTTGGGACTAGAAAAGAGGAATGAAAACACGAAGGGCAAGGGGGCAGTAGGTGGACGGTTTCTGAGGATTGACTGTAACCCTTTCTATGTGGACTATGCAGGGAATCACCAAGGTAACAATGGCAGCAAGACGTGAGCGAGTGGAACGCCAGCCCCGTGTGCGAATGGAATGCCAGCCCCGGTACCCCGGACTGCCCTGGAATAACGGTGGATGATGGGAAGTATCCCTCCCGTTGAGTTCTACCTATCGGGGGTTCGACATAGAATGGCGGGCCGTGACTTTGGGAAGGGACACCGCTTTCATGTTGGTAGAATGTCGGTGGACGGGGATGAGACTCGATCGAGGACCCGGAGACAATCTATCTTCCAATCTGGAAGTTACCGGGACCATGTATCTGCCTGAGATTGGCTGGCACTTGTTGGGGGTAGAGATAGCACAAGGTCACGAGCTGACACCGGTCTTTCGAAGGGTCGCCTGGACGTTGACCCGGATAGGACAATCAGTCAGGGGTAGAAGAAACGTGGGCTTACTTACCCGGGTGGAAATAGGGTGATGGCGGGAATTCAGAGCACCAACCACACCGCTGAGGTGCCGGGTTCCCCGTTTTATGATAGACCTTGTCTTCGGGAGCCTCGCAAGGATACGGGAGCTGGCAGACTCGGCAATAATGTGGGCAGACCACTTTCTCTCTCCAACCATCGGGATGTTCTATGATGTCGCTGTGGAACATGGGTCGTTCTGGGGAAACAGGGCCCACAAATTACTAGAAGTCATCCACATCCTGATGTTTTGTGCGCCCCGGCTAGACTGGACGGGGTGCGAACGCATAATCCAAAGGGAAATCGAGATAGGGAAGAATTATCAAACGGGGGTGGCTCAACTATTCGAGGAGCCTACCGAACCAGAAGGGCCACGAGGGCGAGAACGAGACTAGCACCCGCAAGCGAGCCAGTAGGGCAAATCAAGTACGGTCCGCTACGTTCGAAGGCCCACCGACAGAAATAGGAAAGGAGGGGGCCTCGGATCCGGATGATCAATAACCGCCAGACAGGGAACACTGCGCAGGAAAACTTTTCCTAGCGGGTTGCCCAACCCGGACCCCTACGCACCGACCAACGGAATAAGGGCGCTCTAAACAAGCCAGTGATAAGGGAAGCTAAGTCACGCCCTTAGCTCGGTGAGGCAGCAGAGTCGGACGCGGCTCCATATTAAGGAAGCCATCAGAAAACGGGAATGGGGAAAAGCCTAATTGCCAAGTAAAAGGATAAACCAACAGGATTGAAACCTAGGGAACCTAAATACCTCGCACTGCGTTTGTTCTGGGGAATCCTTTGGTCATGCAGAAGTAGGCAAGCATGGCAACGGAGGATGAGACAGGTAACCATGGAAGCGAGGAAGGACCAGGCTTAGGAGGCAGTACTGAGCAAAGCAAGGAAGGGCAGAAAGATAGGGAATCAACAAATCCGGATGGCACCAAAGGGAACCGGAAGGAAATATCATCGGGAGAGAGCTTGGGAAAAGCCGGGGGAAGCAAACCGGGGACTCAGAAAAATAAGGAGGGCAGGAATAAGGATAGGGCGAGCCCCGGGAACTCGGAGGGACCTGTGTCTAAGAAAGTAAGGGTCATGAACGCGAGGCGCAAACTAGCAGAGATAGAAAAAAGGACCACGGAGTACAAGGCAAGGTTAATTGAGGAAATGATGATTGGGAACGAGGAAGACCCTCTGCAGGAGGTACCGCGGGACGAGCGGAAAACCAGCCGGGGCGGAACTGGGCAAGGGGAGAAGGGTAGTGACCGTGGGGGAACGCCGAGCAAAAGAAGGAAAGAGAGAGAGAACTCTCCGGGAATGGAGGCAGAGAAGGCTACGAACCCCTTAGCCATAGACAGTAGGGCTAGCCGTCTGCCGACCTCGCCAGCGGTATCGCGAGGATGCGAAGGGCTTTGGAGCCTCAGAGAAAGGGTGTTGGGATGGTTCGACCCGGAAGGAACGGCAAAGACTAGAGGGGGGCAGAAAGCCGGCAAGGAAGGGCCAGATACCAGCATGGCAGGCGAGGCCAGTAGCTCCGAAGGCGGCCTTAGGAAGATAGTATCATCCCGTGCACGAGCACTAAACAAGAACCAAGGCTATCTAGTAGACGCCAAGAAAAAACTGACTTTCGATGGAGCAAACATCACAGAGTTCCTGATCGACAACTAGAACCTAGCTGCGTTACTAAGGTGGACCGAGGAGGAAAAGATGAACCATCTAGGACAGCATGTGTCGTTAAGCCTAGGATGGGACATAATGGCCATTGTAGCCGCAAGCCGGTCTTGGAAGGAAACGCGGGATGTGATGATGAGAAAGTATCTGGCGGCAGAGACGATGGCAACGGAGGCCGATTTAGCGGCAGTCCAGAGGAAGAACTTCGCAACGTACAATAACTTCCTACGGGAGTTTACCTTGGTAGCACTAAGAATCCCCGGGGTTACGGACCGAATAATGAGTAAGTACTTCTTCAGACAATTCTCCGAGTTCGACAGGGACAAAATCCTGTCGGCTTACCAATAGACGAGCAAATTTGTAAACACTAGGGATGTTGATTTCAGTATGGTAACGGATCTGGCCGAGAAGACGGTAGTGACCGAGACATTGACCTTGCTTAAGGAAGGTGAGGTCATAGATTTGACCGGTAGAACGGGCGACAAGGTAAAAAAAGGGATTGAAAGTCTACATGAGCGGGTGCACGGGGTCGACAATAAAATTGAAAGGATGGAGGGCACGCTACTGGTTATGCAGGCGCAAGTATCCCGACTCGCCCTCCCTCCCCAGAAAGTTGTGGTTCCGCCAGGTGTAGCCAAGCGGGGATTCGGACAGAGAGATCCTGCTAACGAGCAATGCAAGTACTGTACCGTGATGGGACATTATGTGCGGGCGTGCCCAAAGCTCAAGCATGATATTCTGAAAAGAAGGTGTACCAGGTCATTAAAGGGGGAGATATTTGGACCACAACGGGAACGGGTGAACTGGAACTCGCCAGGAGGGATGCGGTGAGTCATTATCATGCTCAACGGGTTAGAAATAACGGTCGTAGAACTTGAAGCCGAACCGGTGGGCGAGATCATCTCGGATCAACTCCGGGGGCGCGGGCCGTAGGTCAACTTTATTTTGGAAAACGACGGACGTGATAGGGTGAACGCAACCACTCGTCTAGGAACGGCTGGGAGAATGATTAACCGTGACACCGTGATGGAGGAGGTTGCTGGAAGTTCGGAACCCAGGCAGAGCCTGAGGCTGAGGAACCGGAAAAGGTCTATGGAAAACCTAGGGAAGAGGAGCCTATAGACAAAGTTACCGCTGCCAATAAGAAGCTTAGATACCAAATCCCGATCTTATCCTTGCCTGAGATCGACGATACCATTAGCAAGATACTAGGAACCATGGTGTCGGTGTCTTTTCATACCATGCTGCAGGCTAGCCCTAGGTTGCTCAAAGGGCTTAGACAACTGTTGACTCGGCGGCGAGTAGAAGTAGGCGACAACCCCGAATTACCACAAGGGGAAAGGGAGGAGGAAGTTCCGCAAGAAGTGGCTAACCTTCAGAGGAGTCACGGGGACTTGAAAGATCTCGATAAAGTTTTTGCAGACATTCGTTTGAGCTTGCCTGACCGAGAGGGCGGCGAGATCATGAGGTCACCCCCCGGGACAAAGCTTAGCTTTCATACACTGCCCGTAGGGAAGCTGAAAATCCAGATCGGGACTCATCATACCGACCCGTTAGTAGAAGGGGGAGCAGAAATCACTCTCATAAGAAGAGATTTCGCAACGATCACGGGATGTACGGTAAACAAGGAAGTAACAGGGAGCATCCGGGGAGCTGGCGGGGAAATCCTGTTCGCTGGGTACGTCACAAAGTGTGCTGTACAGGCAGGAGTCAGGGAATCGATCTGGTCGTTTCAGCGGATGACCGTAAAGGAGGAAATGGACCACGACATAATCCTCGAGAGACAGTGGTGTGCGAACGTGGAGATGATAGGCATGCACTTGCACGATGGCTCATACACGGTAGACATAGAGGACCCAGTGACCGGCCGGGGAGAGCTCCTCCGACTCCTTGGAATGGGAGGAGACCCCCCGAAGGGGAAATTAGCAACATGGTCGCCGTCGTTCGAGGATAGCACGCGAAAAGGGACTTTCGCACGGATGAAGGGTATGAGAGAAAGGGTAGAAATCATGATTGAGGAAGCATTCAACAAGAAGGAGTGGATCAAGATGGGCCTGCCCCAGAAGAAGAGGAGGCAAGAGGACGAAGTCCTAGGTGTTATGGTAGCAGAAAAGGAGTCAGAAGTCGAACTTGGTGCTAGCCTTCCCAAACGGAAAGAAGTACGCGTAGGCGTGCCAGAAGTCGCACTCGAGATCCCCGATGTGTTACAACTCATCAAGGCTCTCAGATACCACAAGGTAGGAGTGGACTCAGCAGCCCTGGCCAAGTTCGAAGGAGAGGTGCAAAAGGGATATTGCCTGAATGGGAAACTAGTTAGTATTCAACCACGAGTCGTAAAGGCAACGAGGGCGGTTCCGACTGTTAATTTTTTAGGAGGAAGATCCCGGAAGGAAGTGTTCGAAAGTACAAGCCGGTAGGGAAGAAAGCAAAACCGGTCTCGATCCTGCTAGAGACATCAAAGGAAGAGGCTATGGAGAAGGAGGAAGAGGTCCTTCGAGTAATCCGAGAAAGAAGGACGACGGAGGGACATCGGATACCAGATGAGGTAGCTGACACAATGAAGATAGGGATAGATGGGTTCTTAACGGAAGAGGAAACCCGCCTGATCAAAAAGATCTGCCCGGAGTTTCACCTGACATTTGTCTTTAGTGATCACCAGAAGGGACGACTGGATGCGAAGTTCATCCCTCCGGTCAGAATCCACACGGTAGAACATGAGTACTGGAATGACAAGGGGCCGTTTTATGAATTTGGGATAGCAGGGGAAGTGACAGACCTCCTTCGAGCAAAAATTGACTCCTTCGTTGCAGAGCCTACGGCGTCGCCATACGTAAACCGGTGGTTCGTCTTTCGAAAGCCTAACAAGACACTAAGGTGGATTCGGGATCTGCAGAAGTTGAATGCGGTAACCATCCAGGATGCTGGCTCGCTACCTGAGGCCGACTTATTAGCAGAATCGCACGCCGGTCGGAGCATTTACTCCCTGATAGATCTGTACTCAGGGTACGACCAACTTCCGTTGGATGTTCGGGACAGGCCGTACATCGCTATTCACACCCCCGTAGGCCAGCTACAGATGCAAGTGACCCCTATGGGATTCACAAACGTGGTGGCTGAAGCGTAACGCAGAATGCTCGCCGTGGTCGGGGACATGTTTTCAGAAAAGTGTGAGCCCTATATCGACGACAATCCGATCAAAGGTGCGGAGGAGAACGACGAGACAGAAGTCCAACTAGGAATCCGAAAGTTTGTGTGGGACCATCTACAAGACATCGAGGACTTGCTCCGCCGGTTCCTAGTATACAACATCACGGCTAGTGGACCAAAGAGTATTCTAGCAGTACCAGAAGTAACCATACTAGGATTTCGTTGCGGTGCTTACGGTAGGAAGCCGGATCCGGCAAAAACGGACAAGATATCGCAGTGGTCAACCCCCCTGCGCACTGCAACGGAAGTGAGAGCATTCCTATGCGTGGTCGGTTTCTGGAGGATCTTCATTAAGAATTTTGTCAAGATTGCGGAGCCTATCCGGGCTATGATCAGGGAGGATGGAACTATGGATTGGACGGAGGAGCGAGAAGGAGCGGTCCAGAAGCTTAAGGACATATTGACATCAGAGACAGTAGCCCTGTCCGCACCTTGTTTTAATGACGAAGTAGGACGACCCTTCATCCTAGAGACGGATGGAGAACCTTTAGCCGTAGGGGGCGTGTTGATTCAAAGGGATGCGGGAGAAAAAGAGAGACCGATTAGGTTCGAAAGTAGAACCCTGAACTCCGCAGTGCGGCGGTACTCGCAGTTCAAGAAGGAGGTCCTAGCCATCCTGCATTGCCTTAAGACCTTCCACGCCCACTTATTTGGGAGACGGTTCATCTTAAGGATCGATCCGATGAATGTCGCAGAGGCTCTAAAGAATTACAGGCCCATAGATCCGACGGTGGGGAGATGGGAAGGATTCATCTGGCAGTTCGATTACAAGATCGAATGGATTGCTGGAATCCGCAACAAGGCAGATGGGCTGAGTCGGGTTTGCATCACTCCCGAAGGGATGGAGGATGTGGAGCCCATAGACGCATTCCTCGAATACGAAGGAGGGACTCTCGCGGTGGATAACGAAATGATGAGCGGGGAATGCACATCGGGAGAACTATTGATCCAGACCTTGGAGAAGGGGGCACCTGCCGTAGTAGCAGAACTTAAAGAAGGATCAGTTACCACTCGAGGACGCAGAGAAGAAAAGGACTCATGGGGAGCGATAGTAGGACCAAAAGAGGAACTAATAGCAATGGTGGTCGAGGGAGGCCGGGAAACTGTGATGAGCTTAGTGGAATTTTGGGAAAGGAAAGAGTTGCAATGGGGGGTAAATTAGATGCAGGAAGGAAAGGATGGGGGCCAGGAAGGGGAGGAGTTTTTCTATGTCCAATCATACGAATGACTCTTTCGAGAGATCGGGCTGTTGCTGGTAGGCAACAAACGACCTACGAAAGTCAGTATTAAAGCAAGAGAAGAAGCCGAAAGGTACGTCCTAAGGGGCGGACATTTGTTCCGAAGGGAGGAAGGTGCTATGCCCAGAAGTATTGTGTGTTGAAGATATAGGCAAGGAGACGTTATCCAGGCAATGCACGACGGGTTAGCTGGAGGTCATCGGTCATCCAAAGGAACACTTGCAAAGATAACGTCACTCTATTATTGGCCAGGCATGGTCGTCATATACTGCCAGACTTGCCTTATTTGCCAAGAACGAAGCTTGGTGCGGGTCTTCGAGCCGCTTAGACCAACGCGGTGTCGAAAGATGTTACAGCGCAGCAGCGAAAATTGACTCGTCGCGGTCAACTCCCGCGCTGCGTCAAAAATTGTGCACCGTAGTCATGGATCCTAGTACTTCGGTTAGACTTTCCCTGGACCGAAGCCGAGGGAAGAGCGGCGTGACGGTACGATCCTCTGGAGGCCTAATGGTCCCCGTTGGACTGGACCGACGCGACTGCAATGAGTCAATTAGTGGGGTCTGGTCCAAACGGCACTTGAAACGGACCAAGGGTCAGCGAGATATTCAAGTTTGACCGGTTGGGACCAGACCGACACGGCCGCGTAGCCCGGCCAGGAAAAGAACAGCCCTAAGTAGCCATATAGATGGACAACCAGGCCCAAATAATTAAAATAGGGTCATGTACTATTTTTAGCTCGGGACTGACTGTTCGTTTCCCAAAGTCGGGCTCGCGCCAGTCCCGTTCTAAAAATAGCACAGCCCCACGCTATTTTTAGCGTGGGACTGACTGTTCATCTACTGGGGACAGGGCCTGCGCCAGTCCCGTTCTAAAAATAGAACTGACTGTTCATATCCCGAGGTCGGGACTGTTGCTATTTTTAGCACAGGCCCGGTCTAGAGTTTGACCACAACCCCGACCATGGGACTGCAGCACAACCCCGATCACTTGGCCTCTCCATTATAAAAGAGAGGCCACGTCACCCAAAAGATCAGATCAATTCGACAAATCAGCATGCGTGGTACACGTGGCACGGATCAGACACATTGAGAGCATGCCTACTTGCGGAATACAGCAACGCAGGCAGAACGGCAAGTAAGAATCTCTCACACGCGGTGATGCGGAGCGACTAGCGGGGCAGCGAGGAAGGAGGAGGACGGAAGCTACTGCGTTAAAGCAAGTAGAAGGAGGGACGACCAAGACATGCAAGAAGGAGGTAAAGGGAAGGAGGGGTGCTCGGGGAAATAAGGCGGTCTCACAAGGATCATTTTGTTTTCTTCCTCATCTCTCCCCCTATCTTCTTCTTTCTGCTTCCCTGCTCGCTCTCCCTTCTTTCCTCCTTCTCACTCCGATGTGTGGGGTCTAATTAATCCCCTGCGAGCCCATTGGCTCATAGCAAAGTTCTGATCTTCCTTTGACCACCTGCACGCATTGTGCCCAAGGGCAGCTGGTGCTGAGCACTCAGGCTTGCCGTGCTCAAGGGATACCGTGTGCCCCAAACGCCGTGCCTGAAAACTGAACTCACTCGCATTGTGCCTAGGACAGTTGATAATGTGCGCCCTTGTTCACCACACTTAAGGGCTGGTGATGTGCGATCAACTGCTCTGAGCACGAAGACCATTAAATGTTGAGTCATGCGGTGAACCGTGCCATACTTCGTTATGCCTGGGTTACCGCCGAGGGCTACATGATCCATATTCAGCAAGCATTTGTCATAGTTATTTGTTCCGATAGGCACTCAAACAGGGCTTGATAATGAGTTGTAACGAGCACTTAAGCTGGGTGATTAGCTGTGCCAATGGGCACTTGAATAGAGTATGATTTGCCATGTCTCTGCATAATGGTCCAACCGCGACTGTGCACACTTGAGTTTAAGTGTGACATTGCGCTCCGATCTTGGGTGCCATGAGCACATCACGTCTAAGTACCAAGTTTGTACCACATTAAGCTATTCGCCACTGTGCGCAGTTGCACACCTTATCAGAGGACCATTCATGCAATTCGCCACTGTGCGCAGTTGCACACCTTATCAGAGGACCATTCATGCTATTCGCCACAATGCGCAGTTGCGCACCTTATCAGAGGACCATTCGTGCTATTTGCCACTGTGCGCAGTTGAGTGCTGTATCAGAGGACCATTCGTGCTATTCGCCACTGTGCGCAGTTGCTCACCGTATCAGAGGACCATTCGTGCTATTTGCCACTGTGCGCAGTTGAGCGCTGTATCAGACGACCATTCATGCTATTCGCCACTGTGCGCAGTTACGCACCTTATCAGAGGACCATTCGTGCTATTTGCCACTATGCGTAGTTGAGCGCTGTATCAGAGGACCATTCGTGGAATTCGCCACTGTGCGCAGTTGCGCACCGTATCAGAGGACCATTCGTACTATTTGCCACTGTGCACAGTTGAGCGCTTTATCAGAGGACCATTTGTGTTATTCGCCACTGTGCGCAGTTGCGCACCGTATCAGAGGACCATTCGTGCTATTTGCCACAGTGTGCAGTTGAGCACTGTATCAGAGGACCATTCGTGCTATTCGCCACGGTGCGCAGTTGCGCACTGTATCAGAGGACCATTCGTACTATTTGCCACCGTGCGCAGTTGCGCACCGTATCAGGGGTCCATTTGTGCTATCTGCCCTGCACACGCTTAAAGGCCATATTTGAGTGCGCAGTATGCGCATCGCACTTGAGGGCTATTTCGGTGTTTGGCAACTATGCATACCGCACTTGAACGCCATATCTGTGTGCGCAGTATGCGCATCGCACTTGAGGGCTATTTCGTTGTTTGGCAACTGTGCATGCCGCACTTGAAGGCCATATCTGAGTGCGCAGTATGTGCATCGCACTTGAGGGCTATTTCGCTGTTTGGCAACAGTGCATACCATACTTGAGGGCCATATCCAAGTTGACAACTGTGCATGCCGCACTTGAGGACCATATCCAAGTTGGCAACCGTGCATACCGTGCTTGAGTGCCATATCCGAATTGACAATCGTGCATACTGCACTTGAGAGCCATATTTGAGTTGGCAACTGTGTATACCGCATTTCCGAGTTTGCAACTGTGCATAGTCTACACGCTGCACTTAAGGGCAAAATCTGATTCTCCTTGCAACTGTGTGCAGTATGCGCACTATATTTGAGTGCTATTTCTGAACAGTGTCATTTCTGGCCAATTTCGGACCCAAAGTACAAGTGTCTATGTCAGCTGAATGGATAGTAAATAGCTGATTTTGAGCTTGCACTTACTGTTTTGATAGTAGTCTGGCCCGAAGTAAAGACCAAGTGTAGCATATGGTAATCCTGTTGTAAACAATAAGCAAAAACTGATTGTCGTTTGACTGACAGATAGAGCACGTGACAAGAATATTAGTATTATTAATTTCTAAGTGCGCACCCGCGCGGGCCCAGACCAGATATTGCGCGCCCAAGCTTGAGAGTGCGCGTCCATGCGCGCCCAAAATTGATATTACCATTAGAGTGCGCGCCCATGCGCGTCCAAGCTTGAGAGTGCGCGCCCATGCACGCCCAAGCTTGATATTACCGTTAGAGTGCGCGCCCATGCGCGTC